AGGGGGAGGGAGATGTAAGAGAGACACATCAAACGACTGATTCCCACACGCACCCTGACTCCCCAACTGGGGCGGGGCCTCAAACCTGCAACCCAGGTATGTGCCCTTGACTGGGAATCAAACACAGGACCTACCCTTCAGTGCTCAGGCCAACACTCTAACCACTGAGCCACACAGGCCAGGGCCTTAGGAATAAATTTTAACAATGAAAGTGTAAATTTTATACTCTGAAACTTAAAAAACATTGTTGAAAGAAATGAAAGAAGATCTAAATGAATGGAAAAACACCTCATGTTCATGGCTTGGAAGATTTAATGTTGTTAAGATGGCAATACTCCCCAAACTGATCAACAGATTTAATGCAATCACCATCAAAACTTCAGTTGAATTCTCTGTAGAAACTGACAAGATGATTCTTACATTCTCATGAAAATGCAAGGGACCCAAAATAGCTGAGATGATCCTGGAATAGAAGACAAAGCTAGAGGATTCACTCTTCCCAATTTCAAAACTTAATACAAAAGTAGAGTAATCAAAGACAGTGTGGTACCAGCATAAGGACAGACATATAGATCAACAAAATAGAAATGACATTTCAGAAATAAACCCTTATATTCACACTCAAATGACTTTTGACGAGAGTGGCAAGAGAATTCAATAGGTAAGAATAATCTTTTCAGCAAATAGTGTTACCTTAGCTAGATATTCACAAGAAAAAGAATGAAGTTGGACCCCTATCTACAAATATACAAAAATTAACTCAAAGTGAATCACCGGCCTAAATGTAAGAGACATAAAATTCTTATAGGAACACATGAGAGTAAATCTTCATGATGTTGGATTAGGCAATGGTTTCTTAGATATGACACCAAAATCAAAAGCCACGAAAGAAAAAACAGATAAACTGGTCTTCATCAAAATTAAAAACTTTTGTGCTGCAAAGGAAACCATCAAAAAAGTAAAAAGACAACCCACAGAATGGGGAAAAAACTTTGTAAATCATATAACTGAACTCATATAATTCTATAAGCAAAAGACAAAAAACTCAATTACAAACTGGGCAGAGAATCTAATAGACAGCTTTCCAAATAAGATATACACATGGCCAGTAAGCACATGCAAAGATGCTCATCATTAACCATCAGGAAAATAAAAGTCAAAACCGCAATGAGATACTACATCACACCCATTAAGATGGCTATAATTAAAAAGACAGGTAACAGCAAGTGTTGGTAAGAATGTAGAGAATGGCTACCTTCATATACTGCTGGTGGGAATGAACACTAGTACAGCCACTTTGTAAACCACTGTGGCAGCTCCTCAAAAGGTTAAGCATAAAGTGGCATATGTCCCACAAACCCACTCCTATGTATATGCCCAAGAGAAATGAAAACATTTATCAACAAAAAGCTTGTACACAAATGTTCACAGCAGCATCATTCGGAACAGCCAAGAAATGGAAACAACCCAAATGTCCATCAACTGATAAATAAAATGTGCTAAAGCATAAAATAGAATTTTATCCAATGGACAGGAATGAAGTACTGCCACATGCTACAAAGTCAACAAACTTTTGAAAACATGATGTTCAGTGAAATAAACCAGCCACAAAAGGCCATATATTGCATGATCCCATTTATATGGAATGCCCAGAAAAGGCCAGTCTATAGAAACAGAAAGCAGACTAGTGGTTGCCTAGGGCTAGGGCTGGGGGTGGGGGTGAGGGAAAAAGGACTGCTAATGGGTACAGGACTCTTTGGGGTGATGAAATGTTCTGAAATTGGTCGTGGCAATGTTTGCACAACCTTTTGAATACACTAAAAACACTGAACTGTACAGCTTAAATGGGTGAATTGTAGGGCATGTAAATTATAGTCAATCCTCCCTATTCACACATTCCTTATTTATGAATGCACCTATTTGCTAAAATTTATTTGAAATCCCGAAATCAATACTCCCGGTGTTTTTGTGGTCATCTGCAGACACGCACAGAGCTGTGAAAAATTTGAGTCGCCAGATGTGCACATTATCAGCTGAAGCTGAACAAGGTTTGTTCCAGCCTTCATACTGTAAACAAGTATCCTTTTCAAGGCACATTTAGTGCCAAGTTTTTTTGCTTTCTGTTGGTGATTTTGCTATTTAAAATGGCTCCCAAACACAGTGCTACAATACTACCTAGTATTCCTAGGCATAAAAAGGCTGTGATGTGTCTTCTGGAGGATATATATGTATCAGATAAGCTTCAGGCATGAGTTATTAGCCCCAAGTTCAATGTTAATGAAGCAGCAATATACAGGGTGGGCCAAAAGTAGGCTTACAGTTGTTCACATGGAAAAGAATATAATAATTAATAAATAATAATACAAGAATAAACTGTTTCACATACAACTGTATACCTATTTTTGCCCCACCCTGTATATTAAATAAGGGGTCTTTAAACAGAAATTCACATAAAACAAAGGCAATATACTGATCAGCTAACGACAATGTGATCAGAGACTCACAGGAACCTAACCCTGTATCTCCCCTAGGAGCAATGGTTCAGTATTTACAAACTTGGTATTTGAAACAACTTTATAGAATATAACTACTATGACTAAGAAGCCTTGACTGTGTATCTCAATAAATCTATTATTTTTTAAGTTACTTATTTGTTTGTTATAAAACTGGAAAATGAGAAAGAGCAAAAGGCTTATGGTGGTTCTCAGGAATTTTTGTGGGTTTTCTTTCAGTCTGTATTGACTTTTGCTACAATAAAAATGAAATTATTTTCTGCTTAAAAAAAAACAAGAAAAGTTGAACTTCTAGCACTGGTGAGGAAGTAAACCCACTATTGGCCTCTCTCTCTCATTGACTGTAACTATGAATGTGGTCCGTGGGATCTGGAGAGTGTAAGGTGGGAATCCTAAAGAGGAGCAAGCTAGAAAAGTGGGTCCTTTAATTCTGTGTATGAACTGGCACACACCCCAGAGTCACCCTGAGCTGTGCATGCACAGGGTGGACCTAGAGGAGTACAACGAAGGCTTTGAGAACTGAATAGTGGGGTCACTGTTCACAGAAGGTGAGAAACTACTAATATTTGGGAACCTAAAATGAGAAAGGACTGATGACACAGGGCTGGTATGGCAGAAGGACAAGAGGAGGCCATAACTACAGAGCCGCACCCTCCACTGAACAGTCAAGATCAGGAACCCCTCCCATGCTCAGTTAATGCCCCACGCATTCTCCACAACTAGTTACGCTGCTTCATAACCATCTGCTTATGTCTCAGTCTCTCTTCTTTAGAAATTTGAGTGCTACATCTTGTTCAGAGTTCTATCTGGGATATTTATTACCTAAATAATGGATAACACCTAACAGGTGCTCAATAAATGTCTGACTGACTAATTCATTCAAAACATATTTAGCAAGAGACTACCAAGTACCAGCACTGTGCTCAAGGTTGCCCATATGCTGGTAAACAAAACAGGTGGTGCCTCTCCTCAGGAAGCTTACAGACCAGCGGAAGGCATGTAAATAAGTAAATAATTTAAAAGTATACAAAATGTTTTGTGTACTGAGAAGGAAACAGAATGCAGGGATTAAAAAAGAAAAACAGAAGAGGGGAAACTTATTTTTGATAATCTGCTCAGGGCAGTCTTTTCTAAGGAGGTGACATTTTAGCAGAAGCCTGAAGGATGAGAAAAGACCAGTTTTTTTTAAGCAAAAAGGGAAGACTATCCAGGTAGAGGGGGAAAATATGCAAAAGGCCTCAGGTAGGAAAGAGCCTGGCACAGTTCAGGATATATAAATGACAATGTAGAATAAAACATGACAGCAAACCCTTAGGCCGACCTTAAAGACCCAAACTAAAAATCACAAAAGAGCAGCAGTTTACTTCTGAAAACCTAGGCCCAAATCCTACTTTCTGTCTATGCCTCCTTTTCTTTTTGTTCTCCTAAAAGAGCCAAGAGGAAATTTCTCTTTAGCTTTCATATATCCTAACAATGCTGGTTGCCTGAGGCTGTTTTTAAAATAACAAGATAAAACCACAAGATAGAAATTATCCAGACAGTGGTAAAATTCTAATGGCACTAAACTAGACAGTGGTAAAATTCTAATGGCACTAAACTAGAATTCAGTTAAGCCATGGAAAAATCTTAGTAGGCCAGGGTATTTTAATATTTTCTTGAAAAACTATTGATCTTACCTCAGTACACCAAAACTTAGGCAATATAACATAACCCTAAAAACAAACTCCAGCCCAAACTCTGAGTAGTTTATTTCTTGGTGATCCTGCCTTATGCTCTACCAGCTTACTGGTGAGATCTAGTCCCAGTCATTGGGTAGAAGATCCTCCTGACCCCTCCCCCTCATTTCTTCTCCTCTTACACCACAAAAGAGAATGGCCACCAGAAATACACCTTTTATAAAGAACAGATATATAAAATATACTTCTTTCAAGAGGCAACAAGTGCTCCTGACAATACCCTAGGTTTCAGTGAGAGCCCTAGAGTCATTTCAGGTCGGGATAGGTTTTACACACTATAAACTAAAACAAGAATCAGCTTTTTGGCTCAGCCTCACTACCGGCTCAGTAAGTGCCTATAATCCTGTTTACATTCCACTACTCATACTCTGTGGTCTGCTCTACCTGTCTTCCGCCAGAAGCCTCTCTCCGGTGCTTGGGTGGAAGACAATGATGACCATCTGGAAGCAAATCTCGCCGTCTCTCAGCTGCCCCAGCAGATGGCTGCTGCCTGGAGTATAAGCTCTAAGAGATACAAAAGCATCCACCAAGTGTGTGAGCAGTGGCATAATAGCAGTGACAATACTGTAGGCAGCAATGACAGCCCTGAGGTAATCTAAATAGGTCAGAAAAAACTGATACATTATGGCATAAAAGTAAACTTTATACTTCTTGCCACTATTATGGATCTTAACTGTATCCACAAAGCAATTGTTTCTTCATCTATAAAATGACGATAATAGTAAAATCTATCTCCCAGGGTTATTGTGAGAATTAAATGAGACAATGGACACAAAGAATATGGTAAGTACGTAAGAATGTGGGCTGTTAGTCATACTAACATTAATATTATTGATATTATTAATAAGAAAAAGCACTATCGCCATCATCACTGTCTTTAGTAGTATAGCTCTGAGAAGCTCAGATCAAACTCTAATTTACTTTCTGCTGCTAGTCTTGACTATACTCTCTCCTACCTGCTCCCTGAAAGAGCCCGGGTCCTGGATTTAATGTTAAGACATATTCATGGCACTCCGGAAACAACTACCTTCTCCATGTCTCAACTGTCATATTATATGAGGCCTGCTCACAGTTCCTGTGCTAAAGACAACATAAACATTGAACACCTATTTTCCAAGCAGGAGCATCATGCCAGGGCAACACTAAATGCTTCAGTGAAGAGGCCTGAAGCCTTTTCCATAGGTCAGAATGGCGTGATACATCACAGAACAAGAGGATATTATATCTTTAGCCAGTGTTATTGACCTTAAAACTAATCCCCTGAGGCAGTTTCTACACTGCCCTGTCGATCTTGAGCCAGAACCTAAGCAATTCCCTCTCTGCCACCTGCTCCTCGCTACAGCATGCTCTACTTCCTCTCTGGGAGAGGCTAGGTCTTCAGTACTGGGTGAAACATGCCAATAGTACTCAAGAAGCAGTTCCTTTTTCAAACTCCATTTCTCAAAAGGTGAGGGTTGCTTGATACAGTTGTTTTAAAGAAACAACAAAATATAAAACTAACTAAGTAGAAATGATGGGTTCGTGACAATAATGTCGACTTCAGTGACAACCCCAGAATAATGATACTAGGGTAGGATAATTTAACAGCGCGGTGTGTGTGTGTTTAATGTAAAATTTCCAAACGCACATCAAAGTAGGGGGAAAAACAGTATAATGAATCCCAAGATACCCATCACCCAGCTTCAACAATTAGCAACATTTTCTTTTTCTGCCTATCTCTTCTCCCACTTTTTTTTCTGGGGTATTTTAAAGCAAATCCCAGGTTATTCTGGCACTTTTCCCTTCTGCATGGGGCAACTCTTTATTCAGCAACATGTCTGAAAGAAGATATGGCAACAAGGCAATATTTTTATAATGTTGGTAGTATTTTCCCAAGGTAAAGCCAGGAGACAAGCTGGTGTCATTTCCACAAGTATTCCTACTAGTGTCACCAATAATTCTGTGTACAAACACTAGATGGTGGCAAAGCTCAGGAAGTTTTGAGGTAGCAAACAGTTTGTTGTATCCTTCATCATAACTGGTTTGCAAACTCAATGCCTAGGTTTGGTGCACTGCTTCAGTTGATCAAAAATAGAATCCCTTCAGTAGTTATAAAACAATGTATAAGGCCAAATAAATATACTAAAGAACTTGAGTTTAAAAAAACAATTTACTGTTAACCAATCAATATTATATAAAACCTGTCTCTTGGTTAACCCAAACGACAGAGGTATGCTTTCTCAGCTAGAATCTTCTGAACGAGCTCATTTTGAAATAACTGAAAAGATTATATTCTCAGCCTACCTCTAGAAGCCTTAAAAGTATGTATTCTACATACAAACTAGCTTGAAAAGCTCCAACCCAATCTTAAGGAATTTTGTCTCTGTTACTCCTTTGGAAAGTGACAGTCCTCCCACAGTATTCTGCTCTACCTGATCTCCAAGGGAGGCTTGGTCTTGGACTTGAGGGTTAACATAACGATGACACTCCACAAGCAATTCACCTCTCGCTCTCTCTTCTCTCACAAAAGATGACGGCTGCTTGAAAAACATGTTCTAAAGGAACGACAAAAACAGAAATCGTCTAACCAGGGCAACGTGCTAATCATAATATTATAGGCTTCAGGGAGAATTCCAGGGACATGGTACCAGGTGAAGATATTCTGATATATTTTGATTTGAACAAGGATGTAACACTTTTAACTCGACTCTGAAGAACTTAATTTTTAATCCCAAACCATGTACAGACTAGTCTGACAAACTCCTCAAATTTTAAGTAATTTAGGATCTACTACTTCTTCCTACATTAGTCATGTAGGGCAATTACCACAGGTAAGTCCATGGGCTTCGGCAAAAGTTGTAATGTCATCTTAGCAAATTAAAAGTCTGATTCTATAATAAGAATATGAACATGGTTTATCAGCCTTGCGAATGACAGACCTGACTTGACTGACACAGTTCATTAGGACAGGGACTTTTGCACCCGACTCTACCCTTAACATTACCAGTTGTTAAGAATGCCTCAGATCCAGTCACTTTAGTCACTTTATTTCCTGTTTATCTCTCTCATTCTGCTCTACCTGATCTATGACGAATGCCTGGTCCTGGAGTTTAGGAGCCAGAGGCTGATAACCTGCCAGAGAAAAGCCATCTCTCCCTTTCTCATTTATCATATCAGAACATGGCTCTTTGAAGCGTACTTTCTTAAAGAGAAAAACATAAACCGTAAACTGCCTAGTAGGAGTAATATGATAGCAATCATATTCTGGGCCTTCTTGAGAAATTTACGGTAATTTTGAAAACTCAGGATAATGTGAAATACTATGGAATAAAACAGAAAACCGTACTTTTTCGTCAGTTCTAAAGTCCAGCTGAGAACAATTTTTGCAAGCTCCAAACTAAGCCCTAAACAACTCAGTTCCTGCTGGCCTCTCTCCTTCTGTTCCGCCCTGCCCCTGATGGAGGCCTATCTTGATGCCTGGAGATCCTGATGGACACCCAAAGAAAGTATCTCTCTCCCTCTCCTACTTATCAAAATAGATGCTGGCTGCTTTGAATTGCTGTCTAAAAAAGGAACAAAAGAACAATTGTTCACTTAAAAAAGACAGGTAGACCAACAATACTTCAGGGGATAGTGAGAATTCTGGAGTTATCTGAGATCAGAGAGTAACTGGACACCTTGCGGAATAAACGAAACACTATTCTCTCTCCCACGCATGCGCAGCCACGCCCTAAGTAACTTACTCCTTCCTGCTGATGCCTCTCCTTTTGGTCTAGCTGATCCCTGGTAGAGGGCTGCCCTTGGAACCTGGTAAAAGATACTGTAGGACACTTGTGGGCCACTCCTTCACCCATCTCTCAGCTGTAAAAGCTGATGGCTGCCAGAAATAGTTTTCCTAATGAAGATGGTGTGTGTGTTTTTTAAAGTAAATTGTCCAGACAGGGGTAATATGCTGATATTACTTTAAGGCTTAATGAGAACTCCAGAGTTAGAAATCAACCAGGACAATATTTTTTCCAACTATGAATCTCCAAATCAGCTACAATATAGTCCCCACAAATCCCACTCCAAACCTTAGTTTATTTCTTCTAGCTTTATCTCCTTCTCACTGTATTTTACCTGATATCTGGGTAGAAAATCCTGGTCTTGACATTTGGGCAGAGTATTCTGTTCTTTGGAGAGCACACACTGGTCTCTGGGTAGAAAATGCTGGTCTTGAGATTTGAGTAGGATAATCTGGTCTTTGGCAGGAATGTGCTGGTCTTTGGGTATAAAATCCTGGTCCTGATATTTGGGTTGAACATTCTGGTCTTTGGGGAGAACATGCTGGTCTTTGTGGAGAAAATGTTGGTCCTGACACCTGAGTAGAATATTCTGGCCATTGGGTAGAATGTTCTGGTCCTGACATGTGGGTAGAATATTCTGGTCTTTGGGTAGAAAAGCCTGATTTGGGGATAAAAAATCCTGGACGTCCAACATATTTCCATCTTCTAGTTCAATATTCTGGGCTTCCAGCATAAAACCCCGAGGTTTTGTCTTCACAACCTGGGCTTCAGGCTCAATGGCCTGGGCTTTGGGCTCAACAGCTTGGCCTTCCACAGTATGGCCTTCCAGCTCAATACCCTGGGTATGTGGCTCAATATTCTGGGCTTCGAGATCAATACTCTGGACTCCTGTCAAATCACCTTGGGTTTCCAGCAGATCAACTTGGACTTTGGGAATATAATCCTGGGTTTCTGGCAGAGTATCCTGAAGATGTAACTTCTGTAGCTCTTCCTCTTCCATTATAGCAAATAATGGATTTTTGAATTGTACTTTCTAAAAGTAAACATAAACATCAAATATATAATACCAGGTAGTAGCAATACTCTACGTTTTCCACAAGACTCCTAAAATAATCTTCAAAGGATATGGTAGTCAAATTCCTAGAACACAATGCAAACTTATAGTCTTCGCTCAGCCTTCCCTAAACCTACATCTCAACCCAGTACAGCAGCACTGGCGTCCCTGGCCCAGCTCACAGTTACTTTCTACCACACCGTCTCCCTTCGCTCTGCGTTACCCGCACTCTGCCGTAAACTCTGTCCTTCTGTTCGAGGAGGACATCCTGTTGGTGCCACCAAAGCCAACTTTCTCTCCTTTTGCTGTCTACCGCGACAGACGAAGATTCCTCAGCATCAGGCTCCTAAAGAGCAGACAAAAATGACAAATTCAATGAAATTTAAAAAGAAATGTATCCATTACAGGTAGAAACAATGTGACTGCAATAAAATCCTAGGCTTTAGCACCCTACTAATATAATTTCAGTAGGTCAGTATAGTCAAATGTTATAAAAACAGGACATTAGAAAAGTGCAAGAATGTACACTGAAAACTAGAAAACGTTGTTGAAGTGAATTATATAAGATCTAAATAAATGGAAAGATCCCATCTTCATGGTTCTCCATAGACAATATTATAAAGACAACAGTAAACTCTTCTATTTACAGACAACTAATTTTCAACATAAGTGTCAAGACAGTTAAATGGAGAAAGAATAGTTCTTTCAACAAATGGTGTTGGGACAAGTAGATATCCACATGCAAAATTGTAAGAACACTTCCTCACAACTATATGTAAAAATTAATATAATTTTTAATCCCCACAATGGATCATAGACCTAAATGTAACAGCTAAGACTATAAAATTATTAGAAAAACATATAGAAGGAAATATGCATGACCTCAGACTAAGCAATGGTTTATTAGATACCACATCAAAAGCACAAGCAACAAAAGGAAAAATAGATAAGTTGGACTACAATGAAATTAAAAATTTTGTGCTGCAAATAATAGCATTAAGAAAGTGAAATGACAACCCACAGAATGGGAGAAAATACTTGCAAGTCATGTATCTGATATGTATCTAGAATATATAAAGAACTCTTACAACTTGATAATAGAAAGACAACCCAATTAAAATAAGGTATCACACAGACATTTTCTCCGCAAGAAATATGTAAATGGGCAATAAGCATAAGAAAAGATGCTCAAGATGATTAGTCATTAGGAAAATACAAATAAAAAATACAGTGTGATACCACTTCACACCCACTAGGATGGCTGTAATAAAAAAGATGGAAAATAATAACAAGTACTGGAGAGGATATGAAGAAATTGTAACCCTCATATATTGCTGATGGAAAACAACCTGACAGTTCCTCAAAAATAATAAACACGAAGTTATCTATGACCCAGAAATTACCCTACTAGAGAAATGAGTGTCCACACACAAGAACATTTACACAGCTGCTCACAGCACAATTATTCATAAAATCCAGTAAGTGGAAACAACCCAAATGTCCATTAACTAATGGACATTAGCTATCCAATGGAATATCACTCAGCAATAAAAAGGAAGCATTGATACATGCTACAACATGAATGAACTATGAAAATATTATGCAAGGTGAAAGCCAGTCACAAAAGACCACAAACTATGATTCCATTTACATGAAATACTGCAATAAGCAAATCTACAGAGACAGAAAGAGTAGTGGTTGCTTAGGACTGGGGATAGGGACAGGGAGGGGATGCAGAGTGACAGCTAACAGGTATAGGGTTTCTTTTGGGAGTAAAGAAAAAGTTCTAAATTAGATTTTGGTGACAGTTGCACAACCCTGTGAGTATACTAAAAACCATTGAATTGTACACTTTAAATGGGTGAATTGTTTGGTATATGAATTATATCTCAATAAAACTGTTTTTAAAAACAATACTACACATGATAAGCTTAACCCTTAAACCTTTTCCTTAATAGCTATGGATAGTTCTAACAAGCCATTCTTTTTTTCCTCTACTCTACCTTTCCCTACTTGACTTGTCCATAAATTTCTGGTAATACACAGTATTTAAAAGGCCTTGATAAACTCCTTTTGTTCCTATATTTATCCTGATGGATGATGGTTTCCTACAAAGTACTTTCTGGAAAAAAAATCAATATATATAAAAATGGTCTAGAGAAAGCAATATGCTCATGAAAGTAAATTGAGTTTTTGTGCAAAATCTGGAGTGATCTTAGCAGGTTATGGAAGTATAACATAGAATAAAGGAAAACAAATTCTACTTCAAATGTCTGAACAAGTCACACATCAAAAATACAGCATGAAACAGGGTGGTAGGAGATATATTAAATTTATCAATGACAATTTGCCCCTATACCAGCCAGTAACAATTTTGGAAGGCTTATGATTTTTGCCTTGGTGACATGACAGCAGGCAAGCAAGTATATCTTCTATTTCTAGCTCCAGATCTAGAACAACAACCGTACAGATTCTAATGTCAGTAAAAATAAACCTAACAAGGAAATGAAACCAGAATTCAAAGCAGTTATGCTCTCCTTTCTGACTGAAAGATCCCCACTTCAGACAACTAAGGAGGTAGAAAACTTCAGATTTGAGGGAAACACTACAAACTTGAAATAAGCAATAAGAAAAATTTCACTAATTTCTTAATCATTCTCAATTACATGGAGTAGACTTGTTTCTGATGTTATACCTGAAAAATGCACATGCATTCTTTGGAATCAAGCAGCTAGCCTGAATTCATCATCATTATCACAATAGTAACGTATTACACTTAAATGGCACCTTTGACGTATATAACTAGTTTATACAAGGATGTTTTCACAGACTTAATATTACCTCCTCCCTTCTACTGGATAATTATTTCAGTCAGACCTGTGAACAGTATGCTTTGTGAAAAAACAATTGAGCAGTTTGAACATGTTCCACACAATATAAAATATCAGTCTCTAGAATCTAATAACCTTTTTTTCTCGTTTATTAAAATGTGTCCAATCACTTCATTCTAACAGTACCCTGGAGTCAATCTAACGGCCCAACCTATAGTACAGCCAGATCTAGGGTAGGTGTGAAAATGGTGAAGATACCAAGCCACTGAGAAAAATTTAGGTACAAAAGAAACTACCTGAGTCACAATAAGGCAACGCTTGTTAGAAAATGGTAACCATTCTGAATGCATCTAGATGGAATGTCATATATGGAAACACACTGATGCCCACTTGTATTTCTATATTTAACTATAAATTTCTTAATTAACACTGGAGAGAGACGTTATAGTTTAGTATTCTACCAACAGCAAACATATAAGTGACAAATGTTTTTGACTGTTGTGTTGAGATACTTAAGAAAAAAAATACAAAAATAAAATATATATGTATAATCCAGGAAATTGTAAAAAAAATACCAATTAGGAAGCAAAACTGAGAAAGAACTAAATAAGACACAGAGTTTACAATAGAAAAAAAAAGGAAAAAAGACTAAGTGGTTCATTTTTCTAGATGCTGCCTATCAAAACTTGAAATTAATTCCAAAATTAACTATATGAAGGAAGTACAGGAGTTTAGCATCCAAATATGTGAACACCGAAATAAGTAGGCACCAAAACAGTGTTAATTTACAAGTACAGCCTTAAATATCCTTTTCAGTCTCCCTTCACCTTTGAGTTCCAATTATTTACTCTTATCTTTTGGGGAAAAAAACAATTGCTTTCTTTTTAAAAAATAATGGTATTTTTCTCCTAATTAGAAAGCAAAATATATACATTATAGAAAACATTTAGTAAAGAAAACCAAGAGAAGAAAATAAAAACCACCTGTAACAAAACTACCCAGAAATAATCAGCATTAACTTCTTGGTCCACTTCTTTCCAGGCTTTCATCTATGCAAATAGCATTCTCTCCCCATCTCTTTATTTGAATTAATTTTTTTCATAGTACTTATTATTTGAAATTATATTCTATGTAGAATATAATAGATATCTCTTTGCTGTTTATTATATCCCTCCCCACTAGCACAGAAGCTCCTTGAAGGATCTTTGTCCATCTTTCCACCACTTTAAATCCTGCTCCTAAAACAAAGCTTTGGCAATTACAGATGTTTCATAAATATTTGTTGAATGAATTTTTTAAATTGAGATTATGTTGTATATAATTTTGTATCCTACTTTTTTCACTGAACTTTATATCACAGACACTTTCCCTTGTCTTCAGATGTTTTTTGAAAGCATGATACTTTTTAGAATGGCTATATATAGATATAGCATAATTTTTTAACCATTCCCTACTATTGAATATTTAAGGTTATTTCTATTTATTTTATAGTTCTAAATAATGGTGAGATGAGATATAAAAAATCTTTATATTTTTATCTCTTTCTAAAAACAATTTATTAGAAATTAATTTACCTCTTGGATGGGAAAGCATTTCCTTGTATCATCTGAAAACACTGATGCATTTTTATTATTCACAGTTTTAAAGGATGCCAGCCGATGACGTGCCTGTTTCATGGTTTGACTAAGCTGCCAAGGAAAGGGGGAAAAAAGCAAACAAAAACAGTCTTAATACCAAATTCACTAAAGTGTTCCAACAAGAAAACAGGCCCCTATTATTTAAAAATGCCAGGCCTAAGACAAGAGGATTACTTGCAAAGGAGACTGTGATCTGCTGATAGTGTTTTTACAACATTATTTTTATTATTTTAAGAGACTGCATTTCATAACTTGATTTTAAGTGCTATTACTCAAATTGTTTTTTAATAATGCATGTTCTATACTATGTACACAAAAATATCAGAATCTAAAAGTTTGACTTAATACACTAGAAATTACTGAACAGACACATTCTTTACTTTCTATCCACCTTCCCAATAAGGAATTATTTCTTCAACTGGTCCTTGCATGCCTAATTACCTTTTATCACTCCTTGCTAGATGTCTCCAATTCCTAGTCTTCTTAAAATCCCTTTTTCCTATTTACATGAGCCCCTTCTTCACCCCCACATGTCTAGTTCTTAGTGACATCTAGTGGATAAAAACTGCAACAGAAACAGTAAACTTAATATCTATTGTCATGGTAGTATGTGGACAAAAGTTTATAGGCTTAAAGTAGTTTAGAATAACTGAACATTTTTCAGTAGCTCACCTTCTTTAAGAAAAAAAGGTATAAAAACTTTTTAAAATTCTGTAACATTTAAGGCTTCTCATAACCTGATTTCCTCTGACATAACTAACCTCATTTCCTATTTTCTCCTCTAGAAGCTATCATTAGAAAGGTTCTATCACTTATTCCCAAAAATAGCAAGCTCATTACATATCCTAGACTTTTAACTGTCCCTCCTATCTCAAAATTCTCTTGAACTTACCAGTTCATTTCAGTTTATCAATTCAAAATATAGAACTCAAAGCTCATCCTAATACTTTTTTTTTTAATTTATTTATTGATTTTAGAGAGAGGGGGGAAATAAGAGAGAGAAACATGGAGGAAAGGAGAGAAAGAGAGAGAAAGAGAGAGAGCTTGTTGCTCCACTTATTCACTGGCTGATTCTTGTATGTGCTCTACCACGGATAGAACCCGCAACCTTGGCATATTGGGATGACGCTTTAACCAACTTAACTACTTGGCCAGGGCTCTTTCTAATAAGTTTTGAACTTTAACACTTTGGTACCTTACGTTAGATGATTCTAAAGTATCTTACCGAAAGTAAATATAAAACTTAAAATATATATATATAAAAATAAATATCATCCCATTATTTCCTCCTTTACAAAAATAAAAAAAGACGAGGAAAAAGTGAAGTTGAATGTGACACCTCCTAATCTCTACTTCATATCCTAGATATTTCGTACATCTAAAAAAATCACTGACATAAAATAAAATAAAAATGTACTTACAGCCTGGGCTTGTTGGATTAATTGATTCTGATTTTCTCTATCTTCTATTCCATCCCCAAACATCTGGGAAGGAGGTAAACTAGCACTTCCAATAGCAGCATTCGAATTGTTTTGAAAAACACTTGTTCTTTTAGGAGTTAAGTGTGCTGAATCTGAAGACTTTTTGGCTATAGAGCCTTCTTTTTGTGCCTACACAAAGGAAGAAATAGTGACATGATTCTAGTGAGATTCACTCCAATCCAGTGCAATCAAATAATGCCTATAGGCAGCCCAAAAGATTTAAAATTGGTGGTCGGAAGGAGGTAGCAGAAAGTTTTAGCTGGCAAAAATAAATAACAAAATAACATTTACCAGGCACTTACTATGTACTAATAATTTACATTATCTCATCTAATTCTCACAACAGTCATAAGAGACAAGTATCATATCCCCACTTTATAGGTGAAGAAACTACCGTCCAGAGAAGTTAAGTCATTAGCCTAAGGTCACATTGCTAGTAAAATAGCATTAAACTAGGTCAGCATCATGGAGAAGTGAGAAAACCACTTTGCATCTCCCCTTAAATTTACAGCAAGTGAAACATCTATAATCCAACAAAGGTTCCTCTGCTCAACACACAAACACACCTAAGAGACACATCCATCTATCTGAAGGTGGGCATATTGGAACACATAGGGGAGGCAGGAGGAAGGGAAGGACAAGGATGGTGTCTACAGATATAGCTGGCCAGCCACTGCAGCCCCAACTAACAGGGTAGTGGTGGAGAAGTTGTAGTGCAATCCCCACACTATGGCCAGGTGGAGGGTAAGAGGAACAGAAGCAGCCTTGGTGTCCAAGAATCTGGCTCCCCACCATTACCAACCCTCATTGCTAGAACCTAGTAGCAACAGCAGAGATATCTAAGAGCACAGGTGTGCTGGCAGCCATTAGGAACAAGGTGGCAGCACTGTGGGCTTGCAAACCCGGCTCCTCCCTACCCACCACATCCCCCCACCACAGGTTGTTGCTCCAAGACCAAAGCAACCTGGACACAGCAGGGACACCCACCACCCCGGTCACCCAGGAGTCACTTTCCACACCAACAGTGACACCCTCTACTGCATGCTACCACCTAGGCCAAGCAGCACAGGTAAGAGAAAACAAAAAGATGCACTATAGCACCATCTACTGGAAAACAAAAGAAAGACCTCTAATTATCAACCTGCTGAAATGTTCAAATCAAAACGGTATCTATGGGGGAAGATACATTTGTAGTACATTCAACAACAAAGATAAATTAAAAAAGCAAAACTGTACCTAGACAAAAAGTGCTCACTGTCTTAAAGGCAAAGGGAAAACCCATAAAGTACCATAAATAACCAAGGCAATAAGGTAGCTCAGAAAGAAAATTAAAAGTTTCCAGAAAACAAACTCAAAGACACAAAGGACTGATTTAAATTACAGAGAATTCAATATTGCAGTTATTAAAAAGAAAAAAACTTAATGAGATACAAGAAAACTCAGAAATGCAGATCAATGAGCTCAGGAATAAAATTAATGAACAAAAGGAGTACTTTACCAAAGGATTGAAACTATAAAAAAGAACCAAACAGAAATTCTGGAGCTGAAGAACTCATTAAGTCAGATGAATACATTAGAAAGCATTGGAAATAGAGCAGACCAGACAACAGAAGAAGGGAGAGAACTACGAGTGAAAAAAATAATGAAAGAATGCTAGAGAACGATCTGACAGCATTAGAAAGACCAACTCAGGGATAATGGGTATCCTAGAAGAGGGAGAGAGGGAAAAGAACAGAGAGTCTATTCAAAGAAATAACTGATGAGAACTTTCCCAAACATACAAGGAGCTAACAGAACACCTAATTATCTCAATGCAAAAAGACATTCTACAAGATATTATATTATACTGTCATAAGTCAATGACAAAAAAAAATCTCAAGACAGCCAGGGAAAAAAAAGACAGTAACCTACAAAGCAAATGGCATCAGGTTATCATCAGATTTCTCAGTAGAAACCCTACCAGCCAGAAAGAGTGGAATGATATATTCAAAATATTGAAAGAGAGAAACCACCAGACAAGAATTATATACCCAGTAAAGTTATCCTTTATATATAAAGGAGAAATAAAGGGTTTCCCAGACAAACAAAAACTGAGGGAATTTATCTCCTTGAGACCTGCATTACAAAAAATATTAAAAGGAGCTCTTCTACCTGAAACAAAAAGACAAAAAGTATATAAAACTTTGAATAAGATGACAGACCGGTAGAAGCAAAAAATTCCAACTCTATTTTAGAATAGGGTATTAAGCACTTAATTATAGCATAAAAGTTAAAGGGGGGGGGAAGCATTAAAAATAACTATAGCTACTAAAATTTGGTAATGAACGTACAACATAAAAAGGGAGGCAACTCAAACAAATAAAATCAGAACTGAAAGAGAAGTTACAACAGACACCACAGAAACACAAAGGACTGATTATACAAGAATACTAAGAAAGACTATATGCCACCAAAGTGGGCAATCTAGAAGAAATGGACAAATTCTTAGAATCATATAACATTCCTACACTGAATCACGAAGAATTGGAAAACCTGAATAGACTCATCACTAGTAAGGAAATTGAAACAGTAATCAAAAACCTCCCAAAAAACAAAAGTTGCGGACCAGGTGGCTTCACTGGTGAATTCTACCAAACATTCAAAGAAGATTCAATACCTATCCTTCTCAAACTCTTCCAAAAAACTGAAGAGAAGGAAATGCTTTGGAATGCTTTCTAAGTCATTTTACGAGGCCAATATTACTGATACCAAAATCAGACAAGGAAAACATAAAAAAAGGAAAATTACAGGCCAATATCTCTATATTAAAAGGGGGAACAGCATTAAAAATAACTATAACTACTACAATTTGATAATGAACATATAACATAAAATGGGAGGTAAAAAAATTCCTCAAGAAAATACTAGCAAATCAAATATAACAATGCATTGAAAGGATCATATACCATGATCAACTGGGATTCATTCCAGGGATGCAAGGATGGTTCAACAGCCACAAATCAATCAATGTGATATACCACATTAACAAAATGAAGGATAAAAAAATCATGTAATTATCTCAAAAGATGTAGAAAAAGCATTTGAAAAGTTTAACATATATCTATGATTTTTAAAAAAATGAGTATAGGAGGGAAGTACTTTGACATAATAAAGGCCAACATGACAAACCCACAGCTAAAATCACACTCAATGATGAATACCTGAAAGCTCTTCCTCTAAGATTAGGAACAAGACAAGATACCCACTCTTACCCATTATTCAACATAATACTAGAAGTCCCAGCCAGAGCAATTAGGCAAGAAAAAAATAAAAGGTATCCAAATTGGAAGGAAAAAAGGAAAACTGTCACCATTTGCAATGACATGAGGGTTTTAGAGAAAACCCCAAAGACTCCACCAACAAACTACTAGAAGTAATAAACAAATACAGTAAAGTTGCAGGATACAGAATCAAAATACAAAAATATGTTGTATTTCTATATACTAACAACAAAATATAAGAGAAATAAAGAAAGCAATCCATTTATAATCACAACAAAAAATAGTAAAATACCTAGAAAATAAACTTAAGAAGGTGGAAGATTTGTACACTGTTGAACTGCAGACAAAGAAATGGATAAAAATTCCATGTTCATGGAAAGAATTAACATTGTTAAAATTCCATATTACCTAAAGCAACCTACAGATTCAATGCAATCCCTATCAAAATCCCAATGACATTTTTCACAGAAACAGAACAAAAAATTCTGAAATTTGTATGGAACCACAAAAGACCCTGAAAGCCAAAGCAATCCTAAGGAAAAAAATAACAAAGCCAGAGGTATTATACTCCTCAACTTCAAACTATACTACAAAGCTATAGTAATCAAAATGATACAGTATTGACAGGAAAACAGGTACACAGACCAATGGAACAGAATTGAAAGCCTAGAAATAAACCTACATATATATGGATGACTAATTTACAACAAAGCCAAGAACATACAATGGAGAAAGGAAACTCTCTTCAATAAATGGTACTGGGAAAACTGGACAATCATATGCAAAAGAATGAAAATAGACCACTATCTTAACATCAAACACAAAAATTAACTTAAAAATGAATAAAGCCCAGTCAGTGTGGGTCAGCAGTTGAGAATCAATGTATAATCCAGAAGATCCCAGTTCGATTCCTAGTCAGGACACAGGTTGTGGGCTCAACCCTCAGCAGGGGGCGTGCAGGAGGCAGCAAATCAATGACTCTCTCATCACTGATGTTTCTCTCTCTCTCTCACTTCCTCTCTCTGAAATAAATAAAAACATATTTAAAAACAAAAAAAAGCCACTATCCTCGAGACCATCAAATGCAATTTTTAAAAAATGGATAAAGACTTGAATCTAAGATCCAAAACAATAAAATACATAGAAAAAACTAAGCTTCTAGACATTGACTTCAGAGATGTTTTTGTGAATTTGACTCCAAAGGCAAGGAAAACAAAAGCAGAAATAAACAACTGGGGCTACATCAAACTAAACAGCTTCTGCACAGCAAAAGAAACCATCAGCAAAACAAAAAGACAACCAACCAAATGGAGAAGATATTCACAAATGACATGTCTGATTAAGGGGTTAATATCCAAAATATATGAAGAGCTCATAGAACTCAACAAAAAACAAAAAATCGGATTAGAAAATGGGTAGAGGATCTGAACAGGCATTTTCCCAAGGAAGACATACAGATGGCCAACAAACATGAAAAGATGTTCAGCATCACTAGTTATCAAAGAAATACAAATCAAAACCACAATGAGATACCACCTCACACTTGTTAGAATGGCTGTTATCAAAAAGACAAGAAATAACAAGTGTTGAAGAGGCTATGGAGAAAAAAGAATCCTTGTACACTGTTGGTGGGAGTGTATATTAGTGCAGTCACTATGGAAAACAGTATGGGGGTCCCTTTAAAAATTAAGAACTACCATACAACCCAGCAATTTCTCTTCTGGGCATTTACCTGAAAAATATAAAAATACTAATTCATAAAGATTATCTGCATATGTACCTGCAGCATTATTTACAATAGCGAAGACATGGAAACAACCTAAGTGTCCATCGATGGATGAATGGATAAAGATGTGATATATATATACATATATAGATATAGAAATATGTTACTACTACTCAACCATTAAAAAAAAATGCCATTGCAGCAACATGGTTGGATCTTAAAGGGTATTATGCTAAGTGAAATAAATCAGACGGAAATGGACAAAAACTGTATGATTTCACTCACATGTGGAATATCAAACAAAAAAGTAACAAACTAACAAAACAAACTCACAGATAACAGACAACAGAATGGTGGTTACCAGAGAGAAAGAGCAAAATGGGTGGAGAGGGTCAAATATACGGTAAAGGAAGGAAACCAGACTTTAGGTGGTGAGAATGCAATAGAGTATACAGATAATGAATTATGTTGGACACCTGAAATTTATATATTATTAACCAATGTTGTCTCAATAAATTTAATTTTAAAAAATAGCATAAGCCCAAATTCAAACACAAATCTGAATCCCAAACTAACATTGTTTTTAACTAGTGAAAGCAAAAACTGAGTCAGAACAACATAGGAATAAAACACGGTTTCTCTACATACAAACCTACTGCTCTCACCAGCAAATCAGATACAAAGCATAGAATGAAAAGAAAGTGATCCGGTACTGCCTAATAGCCTATCTCAGAACACATATACTTTCCATTCACTCTCTCCTCAGGGCTCACTTTGAACTTACTGCTTCGTAAGACTTCTGAAGCTGTTGTTTCTTCCTCAGCCTAATTTGTTGATTTACTCGGTGTTTGACTTGTTTCTGAAAACGCTTCAAAGCTTCTTGTTTTTTTCTTAGCTGTTCCTTTAGTTCTTCTTCAATCATATATGCTGAAGTCTTTAAAGATGAAAGATAGAAAATGAACTTAAATGTTAACAGCTTTTCCCATTAGGGCTATGTTATAAACACAAAGCAATCAGGAAACAATAGTGAAAAAATAACTTGTTCTATAATCCAAAATTCCCAGTAGAGTAAGGAAATCACAAGAGTTCAGAGACAATAATCTAGACATAGTGAGTACCAAGAGCTTAAAAGCAAATCACAAACTAAAAAGTGGAATTTGGAGTACTCAAATCAAATCTTAATTTTTCACTGAACTGAGAAGAAACAGTATCTTCATTAATTCTTAATGAACCAATTCAAAAAATCTTATGTTACACATTTTCCAAAATGGGTAAAACTGGCCAGATACACCAGATTGCTCATCATTCACCAAATATCTTATTCTAAAATGCCTTCATACTCAGAATTATGCTCCATTTTTACCCCAGCATGCCCTCCCTGTAATCTCTATCTTGTAAGGGCCTATTCAATCTTCAACACCATCTAATACCCAACTCCTAGTACCTTCCACAGTCCTTTCTTCTTCTAAGCTGTTATGCTATGGTATCTCTGATTAATGTTAATTGAGTAGAGTATTTCTTGATTCCTCCATTAGATTATGATCTCTGAGGGCAGAAAAAATATTTAATCCTCCTTTGAATATAAAAGTACTCAATATTTATGTAATGCTCAATTCCAAAACATATTCTAAACAATTTGGAACATTTTATCCCATTTGAGTCCCTGACAGTATTCACAAAGTCTTATCTTTCTTCTTTAAATTAGAGTCTTAGCCCTTAATCATATGCTACCTGAACTCTTAAAATCCTTTCTGGAAATAAGCAGAGTAGAAATAAATAAATGAATACATACATACATAAGTAAGTGAATATACAACATTGCATTACTATTTAACATTTACTTTAAACATATCTCATTTTTCCTCTAATATCAAGAACCACTAAGTAAACATACTTCATACTTTCACCTTCATGCTCAGCACCATGTCTATACATTCAGAACACCTTCACACATTTTGTGCGTTCTATAAATACTTACCAAATGCCCATATTTATTAGGAATTAAGATGAAGGTGGAAATGTGATGATAAGATTTTCCCCCTATGATCTAGGAGCTCACACTCCATCAGGAAAAGTAGATATGTAAACAACTTACTATGAATGTAATGTGGTGCCACAATAAAATTCGAACAACTGCAAAGTGAAACAGTTTGGTGAAATACTATAAAAATCTTCTTACAAAATTATCCTCATGTGTTAACTAGTAGTATGAGTCTAATCATGTAAACTGGCACACATGTAAACTTTGCAAAAGTTTCCTTTCATCTGAAATGCTTCTTCCTCCCTACCCTCTTGCACTTAAGCATATCCACTCTTTAATGACCAATGCAAACTGTATTTCCTCATTCATTCAACAAATATTTCCTGAAGGCCTACTATAAACCAGGACAGGAGTGAACAGAACACAAAGGTCTCTGTCCTCGTGGGATTTATAGTTAGGCTTCGTCAGAATCCCCATCAGAATTAATCTCTTCCTCTTCTGTTTTATTACTGCATGTTGCCTGAATCTCCATTACCAAACTCATCAAAAAACTTTAAGTAATCAATTAATGTTACATGAAAAGTGGCCAACTGTGGTCCTGACTGCACTGCAGAATGTCTGGAAGATAAAGACAGTGCCTATCGCTTGTGCATAACAAGCAATCAGTGTGTGAAGTAAACTGAAATATATACATATACAAGTAAGTAAGTTTGGGCAAATACATACGTGTTTGTTCTACAATCCTAATACAAGAGTACATCTACTTACGACAGAACAGAAACAGGTCCTCAGACTGTCCATCTTTAAGCACCAGAGGCTAATAAGAAGAAAGATGGGGTAGGAACCCCACCATTTGGGTTCAAACTGACACTCACATGTGCTGGGATCTCCGAACTATGTGGTGAGGCAGGTTCCACCCAAGCCCCAACGGGAACTATAGCCTGGTTCCTCTCAGCCAGCACTGCCAACACGTCCTTGCTCTTCAGGGGGTTTAAAGCCAGGGGCAACCTTGTGGTATTTCGACGCTTCTTGAGAGGGGCCATCCTTCTTGGGATCTGTGACTCCTGGATAGGAGAAAGGAAAGGCTTAAAATCTTCAAACGACCGCGTTAAAAGCTTAACTTCCTAACCCAGGAGCCACAGTCCCAAGAGAGGGAGAGAAGAAGGCAGTCGCCTGACAGAAAGTGGAAGAACAGGGATTCTTGAAGAGGGCAGAAGGGAAGAGAAGTGGGAAGAAATAACGGGGGGAAAGGCTTAAAGACTGCCTTCCGGAAGAAATGGGGAGCAGAGGCTCTGACTGAGAAGGAATGTACCCCAGGGGTGGCAGAGCGAGGTGAGACAGGGAGGACTGATCCTGGCAGCCAGGGAGAAAGGGGGTTGGGAGGGCGGGGAGAGAACCTGGGTCTGAGGTAGAGTCCAAATAATCCGTATCCGGTTATGGGGAAGACGCTGAAAGAGGAGGGGAGTCCCCGGACAGATAAAAGCCTAAGTCTGAGGCCTCGGGGTCCCACTCCTGCTGAGATATCAACCGCAACTCGCCAGACTCAAACTTGACTCAGGATACCAAAGTAACCGCCTCCAGTAAACCGCCACTTCCGGGTGGGCTGCCCCGCCCCTCAGCCTCCCTGAACCCGCCCCTTCCGGACTCCCATCATCTCCCGGGGCTTGGTAAGGCGTGAGGGCGGGGTTCCGGCTCCGGCTCCGTCACTTCCGCCGAGGGGGCGGGACTTGTGAAGGCGCGAGGAACAGGGCGGAAAAGTGTCGGAGTGGCCGCTGGGTCGTGCTCCCGGCCATTGGCGGCCGGCTGAAGGGAAAACTGACGGGTAGCCGTAGTCCCAACACTGAGACTTTCCCAAATCCTCCAGGAAAAGGGATTCGCCGGGCTGGAAAGCTGACTGGACAGCAAGTGTCCCTGTTGAGGGGAGCGCGGGAAAAGGAAGAATGCGGGCCTAACCGGGCTTCCTCGAGGAACAATAAGTCAGTGATCCTTTGTGCGCCTCATTACGTTTTTAATGCTATTTCATACATATTCATATATTTGAACTTCGCTGCCTCCTGAGTGGTCCCCCCTCCCGCTCCACGCTCTGTTATACTCCTCAGCACTTCACTATCCCTGTGAAATACCCATTCATGCCATGCAGCATGCAGTTGAGAGCTTTTTATATACCAGTGCTGTTCTGGGCACTGGAAATGTAAATAGTAAACAAAACAGACAAGTATCCCTTGCTCATGGAATTTATAGGATAATGAGCAGTAGCCAAAAACACACGTGAATAATAGATGTGTCTGATGCTGATGCATATTGCAGAGTAAAAGCAGAAGGAAAGGATAGTGTGTTAACGGGAGGAGACATGAAATTTTAGATAGTATGAGCAGAGAAGGCTTCACTGAGGTACTCTGGAGGAAAGACTCCAATGAAGTCTCATGAGGTAATAGAACCAGCCACTGTAATCTTCAAGGAAGAGTTTTATAAAAGAATGTTTCAGGTAGAGGGAACAGCCAGTACAATCACTGCGAGGTGATTGGGCCCAGCCTGGCAAGAAGACTGATGGGACCCCTGCAGAGTAAGAGGGAGAGAGTCAAACTAGAAAGTCAAAAGTTAGGGGGTGGGTAATCGTGTAGAGCATTGTAAGCCACCGAAAGATGCAGAGCCACTGGAGGGTTTTGAACAAAGGAAGGCCATAATGTGACTTAAAATGTTAAAAAATTCTAGATGCAGTACTGAGAATAGACTGAGGGGAATAAGCAAGTAGACCACTTAGGAGGCTATTCCAATCATCCAAATAGGACTTCGGGATGTCTTGAATCAGGGAAGTCGTGGTAGAAATGTTGTGATGTAGTTGGACTTTCGATATATTTGGGAGGCAAGATTTTGAGGAACTGTTGAAAGTTGGATATGAATGGTGTGTGCATATGCGCGCGTGTGTGTGTGTGCGTGTGTGTGTGTGTGAAAGAGAGAGAGTTGTCAAGAAAAATTCTAGAGATTTCATTGTAGGCAACTGACAGGATGGAGTTGCCATATACTGAGATGGGGAAAATGGTGGAAGGAGTAGGTTTAGGAGGAGGCAGATTAAAGAGTTCAGTTTGAGACAAATTAAGTTTTATTTATCTAATTGACATTCAAGGAAATAGTATGATAAAATTGGCTGGAGTTCAGATGAGAGTTCTGAGCTAGAAACATAAATTTGGAAGCTGTTAGCCTGTAGAATTAAAGCCATGAGACTAAATAAAATCACCAAAGGACTAAATATACACAGATAAGAAAATAGGTCCAAGGACTGAGCTCCAGGTTCATGATTATGAATTTACAGTGAGACCAATCAGCATGGTTGAGTGTTTTTCTTCAGTTGCATGGTTACAGGCATGAAGTAGGTGGAGTATTTAATTTTAACCAGGGTTGAGCAAGAAGGAAATCTATCCCACCTGCACACAGGGGTGAGGAACAGAAAACTGCCTCCACTTGAGAGGGCCAGAGGGTCATTGATTGGTACACTTTTACACACACACACACACACACACACNTTTACAGTGAGACCAATCAGCATGGTTGAGTGTTTTTCTTCAGTTGCATGGTTACAGGCATGAAGTAGGTGGAGTATTTAATTTTAACCAGGGTTGAGCAAGAAGGAAATCTATCCCACCTGCACACAGGGGTGAGGAACAGAAAACTGCCTCCACTTGAGAGGGCCAGAGGGTCATTGATTGGTACACTTTTACACACACACACATACACACACCAACACACCAACGCTGGGAAGAAATGTTTTTAGGTAGCTCATTGCTCTTCCTAACCCTCTACCTCAAGGTCTATGCCTCCCACTAGCAGCTGTGTCAGTGATTTTATATGAATCTATACTTTTGTTATATCCAGAGAGATCACATTGGAGAAAACCAGCCATTCATTTTTGTGTGTTCTGCTGTGATTATTATGCATTATTAATTGTCATATGTTCTCTATCCCAAATCACTAAGGATAGGGTATTACAGTGCAGAGAACAGAAACTTTAGGAACAAAGTTGGATTTATATTCTGGCTGTGCAGTTTGCTATCTGTGGTCAAGTCACATAATCTGAGTCTTTTTTCCTCATCTCCAGTATAGGGGGAATAACTGACCTTTCTGGGTTTTTTAAGGGGGGTGAGAGAGGGAGGGAATTAAGGTAATATATGTAAAATGCATGACATATAATAGCCTTTCAATAAATGCTAATGTTTTTTTAGGAATCAAAATAGAAGCCATCTCGTCTGCGTTTAGATGATTTTAATTTGTCTGCCCATCATTCCTTCTCCCATTCCTTCTGGTAATAGAACAGCCCACCTGTGACTGTGGGGCTAGGCACATGGTCCAGCCTGAGATAGTATTCTGTCCTCCTGGCTATAGTGATTGATCCAGAGCTGTACACATGACCTATGCTAGGCCAACCACAGTCTTCACTGAGATTTTTTTTTTAACTAGCTCCATCAAAAGTCTTCTCCTCCCTAGATAACAAGCCACACTGTTCAATGTCAACCACTAGCTACATGTTGCTATTTAATTTTAAGTTAATTAAAATTTATAATTCATTTCCTCGTCCCTACCGCAACACTTAAAGTGCTCAATAGCCACATATGGCTAACAGCTACTGTACCTGGCAGCACAGAGATTGAACATTTCCATCATCACAGGAAGTTATATTGATCAACACTGATACTCTATGTCTGGCAACCACAATCCCCATCAAAAGGTGTGGGAATGCTTGAGAAAATGAAGCTGAGCTGACACCAAGAACTATGCAAAAGAGATGAGTGATAACCATGACGGCTTTTAACTATATATTTCCCAATTATTCCAGCTCCCTCCAATATTTTGTTACATGATAGAAGAAAGTCTTCCTTTTTTGCTTCAAATCATTGAGGTTAAACTTCTGCCACTTACAACCAAAAAATCTGGACAGATCATATTCCTTAAGGCTTGTTGGGCAGCAAACCAGTTGCAGACTCGTGGAGGGCTAACTCTGACAAGGATCTGTAAGCCAGACAAAGCTGGCAACAAGGGGTGGAAATTTTGTCTTGTCCTCAAGGCCTCCTCCCCTAGTAACTTAGCAGGGACCTTCTTTTAAGAAACCGTGTTTCTTCCTATGTTGAATCCTGTGTATGACAGTCCATCTTCTCAGCATCCCTGGATTCACCACTGGGAACCCAATTTCTTTTACTAATTAAGCTTTGTTTTTTATGGCCCTTTTGCCCACCTTATCCTCCGCTTCACATCTTGCTCAGAACCTTCCTTTCTTACATGAACTTTTACTTCTGGGCCTGAATATGAATGCAACTTCTTTTAGGAGTGTAGCAGGAACACTAGACAAAGCAGCACATACTGAGTCTGAACTGTGAAGGCTAACAAAATCTGTGACTTTGAGCAGGTTCCTTACCTCTCTTGAGCTCCAATAAACTTGGGAGCCTTGGGAAAAAAAAATCCTACGCACAGAGTTGTTAGAAGAGTAAATAAAATAATATTTAAAAAGGCCATTTGTAAGGGGCAATGCAAATGTTCTACCAATTATTCTTGCAGATTTAGATGCTACCTTTCCGACTAGATGTAAGCACCGAGCCAGGGATTGCATCTTCTGTTATTTTTGAGTGCGCCACCTTCCCCCTTTCCCACATCCCACTCTTCGTACTGTTAGCGTAGGTGGCCATTAGTGTTAGTAAGTGAAGGAAACAAATGGAATCAGTAAGCCTAATAAACTAGGGAGCTGAATCGGACAATAAGCCTAACTTACTAGGCAGCCGGAGCAGTGGAAGGCTCCTCAAGGGACGGACACACACTCCTCAGAAGGGCCTTACTCTCATCCGACCCTAGTGGGATTATGGGGGGAGGGGGTTAT